TACACGACTCATTTTCAACAGAAACTGAAGTGTAAGAAAACTTCACCTAAACTTATTTCAGTCTTCATCGTTAAGAGACACTTGGATAACTTGCTGTTCACCTGTGTCTCTTCCAGCTCCTCACACTCCTGGAAACTGGATGAAGAAAAGGAGTAAGGCCCTGGGGAACCTGTCCACATTCCAGGCCCTGCTGGTACAGTGTCTAGAGGTTTATCTGGAGGCCCCTGAGGCTTCTGAGGCCACAGGAATGGCTCTGGTATCCGTTCTGTCTGCGCTCTTCACTAACCTCATCCTCGCCAACGCAGTCCAGGAGGCGCTTGCTTCTCTCATTCAGCCTCTCACCCTGTTCTACCAACAAGCAGCCAGCGAGCCGCCCAAATTCACCTCACCAGTTCTGTCAAAGGTGGGTTCTGTATCGCAGCCAAATAGTCAACAATTCAGCTGGTTTTACCTTAGTTGTGAGGATTTGTTTCCTTTCTTTGTTATGACCGGGGTTTTGGATGGTTTTCACCATTGTGATATTCTATAGACCAAACAAGTAATGGATTAATTCAGAACAAACTGGCATATTAAGGAGGAATTAATATTATATTTATTATTTAAGAATAGATACTTAAGTGCTGTGAAGAGCTGCATATAAGATACAGTTCAGAAATTTACATAGTACACACTATTACTAAATGATAAAACACAATGACCTTTGGTGGTAAAGCAAGGTCGACAAAAGGTGAAAACCAGAAGTTCAGAAATTAAACTGGGTAAATAGTGTTGTGCTTGCTGTCAGTCATGGTTGCACATGAGCCCATGTGGTTCAGACAGACAGCAGTCCAGAGTTCAAATAGCTGAAACATCATTTTCGGTGCAGCCAGCTTCCAAATGAGAAAGCTGCAGGAAGTTTTAAGTTTCTAGTGTTCTGGGGTCCCATGGTGAGACTCCACATCCATCCTAAAAGTACCAGGTCTACAGTTAACATGTTACTTTGTGCTTATGACAGCTAGCTTGTTTGTCATTATGGTTTCACAATGTCTTTGCTCCTTTAAATTCACCTACGTACAATGTGAAGTTTGTGTTCAGTGATGTTTGAAGTAATTGCGTTTGTAATGGTCACGATGGCAAGTAACTGTAGCAGCTGTAGAGGAGTTTAATCATCTAAGTTTACAGACGTTTCCTTCTCTGCGTCTGCTGCCTCCAGCTGGAGAAGCTTCTCGGGGAGGTTCTCTGCTGCCTGCAGAGCCGCTCGACTCTGGCCTACGATGACGAACTCCTGGCTCTGCTTTCTCCTCTGCTGTGTGTGTTGTTTCCCCACAAGAACAAGCAGCTCCGCACTTCAGTCGCCCAGTTCTGGAACTCCACCTTCGCCAACTCAGTCGGCCTCACCTACCCTGATGAGATCAGGTGAAAGTCTTATTTTTAATGCTGCTTTTCTGTGTGTGTGTGTTCATGTTGACAGATTATTGCATCTGGTACATCTGAACTCGATGGTAGACAATTGATCTTCTTATAGAGACAGTTCTCAGTGTGTTGTATGTCTCACTTCATGCCAGTCCTGTAAATGGCACTTTCTTCCTTCAGTCAATAACAAAATCTGACTTCTACAACTCCAGATCAGAATCACAGTAAAAACTGAAAACAGTAATATGTGAATTATGTGCTCCTGTATCACATTGAAAACAAGACAGCAGCACATTATTTGATGTGAACCCTCATCAGCTTTGTTCAGAATAAACACTCAGTTCAGTTCTGATGCCTGTAACACTTTCCATAAGAAGTTGGGACAGTAAAACATTTACCATGCTGTGATGTTGCCGTTTCTTTTCACAACACTTAAAAGGCGTTTAGGGACTGAGGACACCAAGTGATTGTGTTTTTTCTGAATCAGGGTTGCATATAATAACAAAATGTATTGGATCCTTTTCAGTGTTGCCATTTTCTTTACACAGACCAATACTGAGCCAAGTGAAGCAGAAGACTCCAATCATTCTTCCCAGTTTTGAGGTTGTCACTGTTCCTGATGAGCTCAGTGAACCATCTTCTGTGAGTTGTGATGAACATCCTGTGTTTGTGTTAGTTGTAATTTTACCTATTTACTCTCACTGTGCCTGTGAATCTAATTTTTTTTTTCCTCCCCCCCCAGAGTGACAGTTCCCAGTTGGAGACCAAGCTCAGTGGGATGCCACTTTCCTTTTTAGGGAAGAGGGACTCGCTGTTGGGAAAGGCTGCTGAACTGAACGACAAGAGCTCCTCAAAGACCTCCAAGCCAGTTTCTGTAAGTACAGACTGGAAACCAGACCCTGAGGGACTTTGTGTCAACAGTGTCAGATAAATTTGGTGACACCTTCCACTACAATACTGTTACTGAAAATCTCAAACCTGACAAAGACTGTGAGCAGGAAGAAGACAGCGTAAACAGGTTGGGTACCTGGGGTGTCCAGTAGGTAACCTGCTAAGCTTATGTGCAACAGATTAAAAAAAAAAAAGGTTCTTTAACTTGCAGGTATGGGTAAGAGTAAACTAAATGCAACAGGTGAAACAATAAAGCCGGTTGTTTTAAACATATGAGTGTAATTTTATCAAGCAAAATTAGATGATGCCATCTATTTATTTGTGAAATCCTGTGACACAACCTTTGACTGCTCAACTCACATCAGGCTACGTAGGACGTTGTGGATCAGATGTTGACATAGGCTTGTCATCAAGTGATCAAACTGGATAACCTAAAAGCAGGGGGGAAAAAATTCCGGGCAATATATCATTGAAGGCGGTGTTGGACATATGGGAGAAAATTCAGAGCGATTACAGACGGTGAGAATAACGTTATCTTTGCTGCTTTTTTTTTTTAAGAGTCCCTAAAAGCTTTAATATTTGCTACTAGGCACCTGGTCACAGAGGAAACGCGTCCACAGGTGCGTGAACACAGGTGCCGGGTCAGTCAATGGCAGAGTATCTGTAAGAACATTTGGCCAAGTCTAGTGTACCTTTTATGGGTTAGGTCACGGGCCTGATATTAACTTGTAAGGTCCGGATTTAACTTGAAAATAATTGTGGGTCCATGACAGAGCTTGGCGGGTGCAGGTTTACAAATTTGACTTGTGAAAGACTCTGAAATGTCTTTATCTGGTGTGTTAAAATTTTGTTGTGACACCATGACTAGTTTGAAGAACAATAAACTCTTAAGAGAAAGATGTGGAAGATTCCTTCAGACACATTCAGGGCAAATTCAAGAGACACTTGACATTTGAAGCGGTTTAAAATGCTGCAGTGTGATTTACAATGCCTCTGATTATCCCACCATTGTATAACTGGTCTCCATTGTGTCCTTCTACAGACAAAGCTGGACTTTGGCTCTCCCAAACCTCCCCGCAGAAAGGTTTTAGAGGAAGAATCCTCTGTCGACTTTGTCTTCATTCCTCCCGAGACGAAGGAGAGAGTGTTGACTGAGCATCAGAAGGAAATTAAAAGGACTAAACGGTCAGATTTGTCTTTTTCTTGCAGTCCATCAAAATAAAATGTATTTAAAGTGTCCATGTTGACAGTTTTGTGTTTTTCCTGCCACAGGGTTGACATCCCTGCCATGTACAACAACCTTGATGCTTCTTTAGATACAACGATTTTCACCCAGTTCACCCAGAGCCAGGAAGACTCTCTGTAGGTTCTGGGTGTCTGTTAATACTCAGTTACAAGTAAAAAAAAAAAAAAAAAAAAAACTGCATTCATACAACTCACCATTTTTTCCTACAGGGAGAAACTACCAACAAAACAAGCTGACAAGCTTACTGAAGAGGCTCCTGGCAAGGTAATGAAACACTGCCAGGGGTTTGTGTCCTGTTTTTTCATTCTGCCAAGTATGAATGAAAAAACTCCTCTTTGCCTTCTAGACTTTGCCAACACAACCCACATGTTTTTTGGGCCTGATTACAACTGGTGTTTCAGTGTTTAATTAATTTCAACACCTCCAGGTTAATAACAGAAGCCAGAACATCCATCAGTCCTATTCCAGTGCTTATTTGGGTCAGGACTGGGGTGGCAGCACCTCAGATGTCTTTCTAACCAGGCCACATACTCCAGTGGTGTTTTTCCATCAGCACGGGGCAGCCCCACCAAGCTGTGCGTGGTGGAGCCGTGTTGAGCTGTTCACAAGTCAGCGTGGATGTGTTTCCGCTGCACCATAAAATTGATCATTTATCATCTGCACCTTCAAGGTTCAAGGATTTTGTCAATTCACCATATGTGCAGGACGTACAGAAAATCGAAATACCGTTTCTCTCCCACCTAGTATTGGGTACCATAACGTTTAGGAGCTAAGAAAACAGAAATCATCTCAGTCACCACGACTGAAAATGTATTAAAGGATTCAGTGACACTTTCAGGCTTTCCTGTTTACTGGTGTGTTTTGACAAGTCACTGAACTTAGGTTTCTGCATATTCACACTTGTAAAGCACCTCTGTGTGCCTTCATCTGTAATTGTACTACATACATTCTTTTTAATTACTTTGGTTTGTTTCAGGTACAGCAGGAAGATGTGGAACATAAGGAGCATCCTGAGGTTCAAGCAAAAGATACTAAAGACTGTGTTAGCCCCAAACTGGTAGAGAAAGTGGTAGATGACCAACAGGAGGAGGTGTCCCTAGAGTCGGATGTTTCCATGGAAGATGACACCAAGAGTGACGACGGAGCAAAAGACACAGACGTGCAGTCTAAAGAAGGCAGAAGTCTCAGGCACAGTCGTCGTCAGAACTTTATCACACTAGAGAAGTACTCTGGAGGAAAGCCTGCCAGTCCTAGCAGTGCAGCCTCATTCACAGGTCCCCACATGAAGGCCTCCAGTAGCCAAGAAAGTTCTACCACCATCAAGACACCACCCTCCCAGACTTCCCAGACATCCATTGGTTCAAACTGTCAGGATTCCCAGTCCATTCAGACAAGACAAATTAGCTCGCAGCATCCTGTGAACATTGAGTCCCCACGAAGACCAAAAGACTCTGTGACAAAAAGTGAGCCAGTAAGGCTGACTGAGCGACTGCCCAGTGACTCAACAGAGGATGAAGGTGTTATCCCAGACACTCCAGTTGAGCTGCAGGATAATGGGAGTACAAGAATGGCTTCCACATCAGAGGAAACAATGCACTCAAGCCAAAGAGAGGAAACTGAACAGAATCTCGGTGACTCACAATCCTGTGAGACCCTGACGTCTCTAGGCAAACTCAGACGCTCTGCATCCAGCAGAATACAAGCTCAGCTACCTGAACAGCCCAGTGACTCAACAGAGGACGAATGTATTATACCAGACACCCCAGTTGAAATGCAGGGCAAGAATCGTACACAGTCAACATTAGAGGAAAATCAAGAAGAGGAATTTGAAGAAACTCTGAGTGATTCTCCACCCTCTGTGGCCCAGATTTCTCCAGATGGACCCACATTGTCTGAAAGCTACAGAGTTGGATCTCTGGTGCCTGGATTGCTCGGTGAGACAACGGGGGACACCCAGTGTGATGTACAGCAGAACTTGAGTACAACAGTGGCTTCCACATTGGAGGAAACGAAACACTCAAGCCAAGAGGAGGAATCTGAACCAGCTGTGGAAGGTTCTCAATCGTCTGTGACCCAGACTTCTCCAGGTGAACCTAGACGGTCTGGACGCCACAGGGTCAGACCACTGTTACCTGGGGAAGACCCTGTGGAATGGGAAGAGAAATGCGGCCAGTTCAAAAAGAGACGCTCTGGAGAGGAGCCTAAAGGTGATTCCCCAAAGTCGAGCTCAACACAGAGCAGACCAAACACAAGAAGTAAGCAGGCAGAGGAGGAGAGTAGCAGAGAGGGAGTGCGGACGAGGGCTCAAAGCGATAAGAGTGAGTCGAGCCAAAGGAACTCTCAGGGTAGAGCACACAAAAAGACCAAATGGTACAGCAGCTCAGAGGAGTTCCTGGGTCAACCTGAACACAAAAGGAGAGGCACCAGAGTGCATGAATCCAGCCAAACTGAGTTGCAGTCAGACTCGCAGTCTGATTTCGAAAGCCAGTCGCCAGGTAGGCGCAGACGGCAGAGCAAACCAGACAAAATGGACAGCAAGGACCCATTAGGAATCCAGAGTCAGTCCAACTCTCAGACCACGGAGCCACCTATCGATCAGGCAGAGCCCAGAATTGAAGGTAGGACCAGAATGAGCAAAGTAAAAGAGGAGCTGTCAAATCATAGCTCAATCCCAGAGAGCTCTCAGATATTAGATACTGCAGGATTTACAGAGTCCTCCCAAGGCAGGAGCAGGTACTCGAGACGAAGGTCTTCTCAAGTCGCCACTATGGAGTCCTCAGAGTCTGAATCACCAGAGGCCAGAGAAAATTCCCCTATGCCAAGAAAGAGAGGAAGGAAGCCTCGTGTGTCTCTTCAAAGTCCTCTGGCCCTTGGATCTAAAGAAAATGTTAATAATGAAGATGTGGCAAAGGATGATCCTGAGTGTTCTCCACAGGCAGGTACACGGAACATAGAAGCTAAAAGTATAACAGAGTTTGAGGATTCGCAGAAAAGCTGTGATGTACAGGCTTCTGAATCGCTCCAGGTTACAGGTAACGCTGAGCAAAGTAAGGAACAGTTGTCAGTAGAGGCAGAGATTGATGCTGTAGCGGCCTTAGGGCACGAAGCTCCAGAAAAAACTGAGACTAAAAACACGAATGTGAGCTGCGTGTCACCTCGCAAACACAAACAAAGTCACTCCAGCAGCAGCCATAATACCTCTTCGCATGACACCAGGGATGTGGAAATGCTAGAGTCTGGCACAAGTAACAAGCGGGCTCAGGACCAGCTGCCCTGTAACCCATCTGTGGTGTCTGCTGTGGACACACTGGTGCCCCCTGATGAGATAACTGAAGCACTGCAAGTCTCAGAGTCTGCATCTGAAACTGAAACTCGGACTGCCAACACTGAAAATGATGTCATTCTGACAGGTGTTTGTAATGTCTCGGAGTCTGCAAGCAAAGATGTTTCTCAGGATTCTCCAGCAAAACAGAAGGGTCTCGAGGCTGTGATGGTTCCAGATGTTGGACAAAGCCCCATCAGTGGCAAGATCAAAGGAACCTGGTCTCCTTCAGTCTCCCCATCCAGCAGTATTCTTAAGAAGGGCCAGAAGAGACAACAAGAGGATGAGACTCCCTCGCCTCTTGTCAAAGTAAGTCGCAATGTTCTTTTAAATAAAACCAGCATTTGTCTGTAATGTCAGTAAAAGTAACTGTTTTCTCTGGTACCTCTGCAGTCGAGGCGCGTCTCTTTTGCTAATCCAATCCAGCAACAGGAAACAGCAGATGACATAGATCGTCGCAGCCCTGCTGTCAGAACCATCTCCCCACGAAAATCGAAAGTTAGCAGTAACTCTCATCCTAAGGTATGAATGAGGCCAACATCATTATCAATTGACAGCATCAGATCCACATGAGCCAAACCGGTTCTTTGTCAAACTAACACAACTGTCTTCTGTTCCTAGTGTGTCTCTACCCCAACAAAGCGCTCGCTCATCCTGAGTCCCAGAAATCTGCACAGCCCGAGTTTTAAGAGCTCCAAAAAGTGCCTGGTAGGGATTCATTGGACACTTTGACAAAATAGATCTAAAAGAAGGAAACAGTCTGCCTAACTTGTTAGTAAAGAAGGGCCTTTTTATGCATCCCGGATGCAGAGAGTGACATCAGCCAGTGGTGTTTGTCCTCTTTGTAGGTTTTCCAAAATAGATGCCTACTAGTGTGAACCAAAACAGTACTCCATTGATTTATCATTTGCACTACTAAGACTCGTGGTCAAGAGATAAAAGGAAAGTTGATGCAGCAGAATCGGTTATAACATTTTTATTCCACACATCGTTTCTTGTCTAAACCTGGTGCCTACATTACCCATAATGCCAAACTTGACTGCCAACAGTTCAGTCAGTTTGAGGTGTGCCATGCTAGTAGCAGCCTCCAGCAGAGGTCTGCTAAACACACATCTCTAAAATAACACCATGATCTGGAGAACTGGATGATAATCCTCCAGTTGTATCAATGCGAGCAGCACTCTTCACTTACATGTGTTCATCTTTCAATATAAAAATGAAGAGTTGTATAGTTTTCATGTGGACGGTGTTAGCCCTAATAGTCCAGCTCTTTCCAGATTTCTGAAATGAGCCAGGAGCCTCGACTCGTCTCCAGAGACTGTATCTACCCTGCACTGGTTGGCTGCTCCACACCTGTCGAAGCTGTGCTGCCTAAGATATCCTCCAACATGTAAGTAACCTAAATTAACAAGTTTTTAAAAGTGGTCAGATCAGGTGCATCTGTTTTACTGCTGTTTGTTCTGCTCACAGGTCTCGCGGTTTTGGGCAGCTCGTTCGAGCCAGAAACATCAAAACGGTCGGTGACCTCAGTGCTCTAACTCCCAATGAAATCAAGACTCTGCCAATTCGCTCCCCAAAGATTTCCAATGTTAAGAAGGCACTTAAAGTCTACGAACAGCAGGTAACGTCCAGGGGGTTAGGGGGGCTGAGATCAGACAGGTCAGACTCAAATATAAAGGCAAAATTCTCATTGATATCTGAACTGTGACGTTCTAGTGCAAAGGACGAGGCGGTGACGAGCTGAAGAGCTTTGATGAAACAGAGATGATGACCTCTGAACTGGAGGAGACCAGTGCTCCTCAAAACCAGGATGAGGAGAAGGAGAAAACTTCAGGCGAAACACTAGGTGTGTAGCAACTGTGACTCTTTCAGCTAGTTTAACTGTTTCAAGATGACTTTTTCAATGAGGGCAAAAATGCCACCAAAATAAGCGTCTCTGTGGTCAAGTCTGTGATGCCAAATTCCATCTCACTGTAGAAATATGATTATTATCACAGATGTTAAGTCTGCATCTCACATATTCAGTTTAAACAATAGTTTGACATTTTGGAAAAATACATGTTTCCTTGCAGAGTTTGATAACACAGGTAGGAGCTACAGCCAGGCACCTCTCAGATTAGCATCAGGGGGCAGCTGCTGGCTCGGTCCAGAGGTTGCTCATTAATGAATATCTTGGTTTTACCCAGAAACTGAAGCTTAAAAGTATATTTGGTTTTATGGGGCTTATTTGTTGGCTGTGGTAACAGCAGGGTCTCTGTATCTGCAGCGACAGAGCTGGTGGTGGACGAGTGTGTTCCTGTCGATGAGAAGCCGGAGCAGGACTGTTCCAGGAATGAAATTCCTGACTTGGCGGCCACAGGACAGCAGCAGCAACCTGAAGGACAGCTGCAGCCTGACAGGCTGCTGTCACAGGTGGAGGCGCTGACCTGCAGGATGACGCCACTAGAACTCAGCGGCTGCTCGCCGCAGCAGCTTGTTTTGATGCACGATCAGTTAGGAGGCATGATGCGGCGCTTGGTGGTCGAGCTGCAGTCGCGCCTCTGTCAGACAGATGGCGGGCTCTGAGGAGACCGCTGTTGTTGCTGGACCAGACAGCTGAACTGGTGTTGAGAAGCACATGAAAAGATGACGCTGCAGCAAAGAAAATGTTTTTACCCCGTGGGCTTCGTTTAGTTGGACGTGTTCAAATTAAAAATCATTTTATGCTTTTAACTCAATGTGACTTGGACTTTCCTTACCTTTGATTTTGATTTTTTTTTTTTTTAAATACGTGCTAGCAGCACATTTTTTTTTAACTTCAAGCTTTAGCTTTTTATACAATTTGAAGAAAACTGAAAGAGAAGCACATTCTCATTTTTAATCTGTCAAAAGAAGAAACACCAACAGTAGTATTCTCTGCAACTGCAATTAGGGATGACAAATATCTGAAGAAAGAAACTCCACGTGCTTTTGACACTTCAGCCTTTGTACATAAGGTTTCTGTCCTCACTTCATTCCCTCGTGCAGCTGTTTACAGCTCATCACTTTTGAACATTTTGAGGAATGTCTTTGTAAAGCTTTTCTTTGATCTCAGTTTTACTGCATTTCTAATGTAATGGTAGTGAACAGTCTGTACTTCATCTTTATTTGTGGGTTTAAATACTTCAATAAAAGAAGCAATTTTTTTCCAACATGCAGCTACAGTTTTAACCTTTTTTTGCTTAACAAAGGGAATCTATTTCTGCTCATAACATTTTAAATAACAGTTGATCATTTCACATGTGTGTGCTGTACAAGTGGCTTGTCACTGACAGTGTTGGTGTCCCTGTTTAAGTTAAATGGATGGTTTATCAAAACACAAATGCTCTTTTGTATATAGTTAGGCTGTGCAGTGACAGAATCCAGTAGCTTGTGTGTGTGTGTGTATTCAGTCTGGCTCCACTGCTGCGTTCACACTAATGCAGGTATTGTGAGACATGGTTGCCTGAATGTGACAGCAGAGCACAGTAACTTCACAAACATTTCTGATTAAGTGGAGGAAACTTTAATTCCCTGTTTTCACAGCTTCTATATGTTTGCACAGAAAGAATGATCACCATTAGGGAGTTAGTTGCTAAAAAACAGGTTTAATTGTCTTGCTTCCAATTGTGTTGGTGCACATTTTTTTAATTAACCTTTTATGTGGTGCTGTGAATTCTGAGCTCTGTTTTGTGTTGGAGTTGGGAAAACCCATCGAGCCGAAACGGCGCTGTTGAAGCTGAGAGTACCACCTGTTGCGCCGCCAACCTAACAGCATGCTCAGCAAGGTGAGCGTTCAAAGACCACATTTTCTGAAACTGGAACTATTTTAGTACATAAAGCTGCTAGGAAAAAAAGTCGAACTGCCACTTATTTAGAAGTGACATCGATCATGTTCATAGCTTGTTCTCTGGGTCAGGTCTCTGAATCAGAACCGGGTTTATAGAAATAGAATAGGTTGATATCACTGTGGTTAAGTTGGCCAAATGTGTATGGAAATACACTAATGGTCATTTAATCCAGTGTGTCAGAAGGTGCTGTCGACTCCTGTCACTGCTCCGTGCTCACCAGCATGAGCAGGCTTCTCCTTGGCTCAGTGTGGAAGTAATTATCTGATTATTTCTGCAGAGCTCTGCCAGAGGCTACGTTGCATTTCCACAGTTTATTGAGGCAAGTTGAACTCTGTGTGCAAGCTTAGCAAACTGGGCTGCTGGATGATGACCAGAAAGAGGAGCAGCTCCAACAGACATCGCTGCAGGACGGACGAGAACCTCCACACAGCGCTGTGAAGAGAAAACGCACTGAGGTGAGGCACGGCGCATGTTCCACTGCATGTGAACAGCACCTCTGATGTCTGAACTATGGGAAGTAAGATTTGAGTTGGCAGTCTTTGGCTTTCAACAGTTGGTGAGAATTATTCTTAATCCACCTTGTTGTTGACTGGAGTGATCTGTCTGCATTGTTTCAGGAGCCAAGACATTTTCGGATTCTGACGTGCAAACTAAACAAGAGTTACATTTTTTTGGAGGTTAGATTCTCCTCTCACAGACTTAATGTATTTACTTGTAAGAAAACTGGTCTTTCTGCACACTTGTTCACTACAACACAGCTTACATTGTGCTGTAAGACAAAGCTTCAGGGGTCTCACTGAAGTATGAATGGAGCAAGAATGAAATGTCTGAAAGAACTGCTCTGCAAGAAGGTGGTGTTTTTCAAGCTTGCATATGCACAGCTGTATGCGCTGATAAATCCCTGCTTGTCTACTGCGTTAGGGTTTAATGATGCATTGTCTGAGGTCTTTGCACATTCTCAAGCAGTCGGAGTTAATGTATTGAAGTGAGGGCTGCTCATTAGATAAATTGCAATAACAAACAAAGCCTGAGTAAACACATTAAAGGAGATCTTATTTTTCATCGTTTGATTAACTTGTCAATCATGAGTGCAAATATTATTTATTGCAGTGAATGGATGTACACACCTTTTGGTTCTTTTTGCATGAAGTTGTTGCAGGCAGAGAGGAGATGCTGACTCTGCTGGTTCTGGGATGGACGGCCTTGCTCAGCTGCCTGCAGCCAGCTACTTTCGCAGCCAGTGAGTACAGACACAACACTGAGGTCAAACCACCTCCCATGAACAACTGCATGGTGAGGTTATTAAAGACAGGTCTCAGAGTCTGGGTGATTGCTTCACCTCCAGCAGCCTAAAACACAGTTACACTCAAATGCCCATCAACCCCAGATACAGGAAATTCTTCTGCTTCTATCATAGAATCCATTGTCAGTGCAGTTTTAATTTAGCTTATTCTCTGGTTCTACATGTTCCTCACACCTGTAACCAAGGTGAGCTTGCACATAAACTCCCTGGAGGTGCCTTATTCTGTGCTTTATATGAACCATTTGCATGTGTCAGGTGGTAAGGACCCTCCCCAGGACAATCCCAGTTGGCACTGGGCAAGAGGCGGGTTCCATCCTGCACAGGTCGCCAGTCTATCACAGTTCCTCTCTGTCTTTTAATCCTTTCTTCTAACTGTGATACGTGTGTGTGTGTGTGTGTGTGTGTGTGTGTGTGTAGCTTAGTGAAATATTAATTGGTCACTAGAGTTTCACTAAAGTTATTACCTTTGTCTGTCTTTGTAGAATTTCCATTGAGCAGAAGCAGCAAGTGGTCAGCTGAGAAATGTGAACCTTTCTTCTTTTCTCCTCTTCCACCTCCGTTATTTCCCCCAGTCAAACGGAAAGCAGAGCTGATGGTGATAAGTTTTCTCTCTGTCCTAGTCACACACATGTGCATTGCTTTATCTAGAGAGAACTGAAGTCCAGCTCAGCTGAAGCCTCTGTGTGTAGGATTTACAGCCTTCACTGCTATGCCTTGTATGATACTACCACTAGGTGTGGGCAGAGTCTGAACATTTCAAGTCCTACACATATGGGTGTTGAGCTTGAAATGTGTACATAAAACAGTTTTAAAAGAATTCAATAGTTACCACAAGCAAAACCACATGCAGACCTAAAATGAAATGACTGATGTGTCTTTAACTCCTCAGGTTGATATAACGGAACACCTCACTGGACTGAAAGGGGAAAAGGTATGACTGGCCTTGAGTATGAGCAGCAAAACAAGAAACATAAATATTATGCAGTGAAATGCAGAACATTAAGACCCATTCATTATGTCTTCATACTGTATCAATAAATTCTATTATAATGTGTTTTTGCACTACAATTGAACTGTCTTTGTGTTTATAGGGCTGCAGAGGACGCAGAGGTCCTGAGGTACTTGTAACACACTCAAACGTGCACTCGAAGGTTTTTAATACTGTCATGCTGCATGTGCGACTGAGTGAGCATGGGGCTCTTCTTTAACCATTTTCTGTCTTTTATATTGTTCATTGTAAAGAATACTATGTGAGAAAAAGGCTGTGAAAGGTCGCGCTGTGCGTCTTTCAGGGACAGCCTGGTGCGATGGGTGCTGAGGGAGAACCAGGACCACAAGGAGCCATGGGACAGCCAGGTCCAAAGGTCACAGAAACACTTTACCGTCTGTCAACCCACAAAGCATCTTACATGTAAAAGACATCTGGTATAATATGAATTTAAAAGAATCTAGTTTGGATATTTAAACAAAGAAAAATGTCTTTATTGAGTCTTTTTATCATTAGGATGTGATTCCTCTCTGCTGTCAGTGCAGTGTTCCACGTGTGTACTGAGCCTGTTTAGTCTTGTCACCCAGCCGTCCTTCGTCTACCAGTGCAAATCATTAGTGTTGTTCTAGTGTCAATTAGTGTTCTCGCACAGATGTGTTTTACAGCAGCTGGAATATTATTATAGGATATTTCTTTAAAACCTCTCCCATTAGAAATCCAGTTTGTCTGTTAAACTTCCCCTAGCTTTTTAGAATCTCAGGATCCTATGGCCCACAGTCTTTTTACCATGATTTGATTTGATTTGATTTATTGATTCTTTCAAACATGTAACAACAGTCAGTATGTAATCACACATAATTCCAGACATATCCACAAAAAATCTTTTCAATTTGCTTATACCTAGTACATGCTTGAACGAAGTAGGAAGAAGTTAGACTTATCCAGTCCTACCCCCTAACATCATCTTATCATCATTGGTTTGCAAGCAGTATTACTACATGGATATATATTCTACATCCACACTCCCATCTGATTATCATTAAGCCTGTTCTTGCCCATATCTTGATTGACACATACCTTTATATCTGCGTTTAAACTCATCAATTTTCTTACTGTTTTTTATGTCCATACTTAAATTATTCCATAGTTTTACCCCACTTATGGAAATACAAAATCTTTTTTTGGTTGTACGTATAGCATGAATTTTTAAATTTAACTGACCCCTTAGATTGTATCCCCCTTCCCTTTCATTAAATAGTTTTTGAATTCCACCAGGTAATAAATTGTTCCTGGCTTTATACATAAACAC